TGGTGATAGTGGACATCCTTGTCTTGTTCCTGATTTTAGTGTGAAGGATTTCAGTTTTTGACCATTTAGTATGATATTGGCTGTTGACTTTTCACAGATGGCTTTTATCAGATTGAGGTAGAGACCATCTATTCCAATTTTTTCTAGGGTTTTTATCATAAATGCACATTAGATTTTGTCAAATGCTTTTTCTGGATCTATTGAGATGATCATATGGTTTTTGTCCTGTTGTTTTTGTCCTATGTTTTTGTCCTATATGGTTTTTGGCTCTATTGATATAATGTATTACATTAATTGATTTGGGTATTTTGAACCATCCATTCATCCCTGGATTGAATCAAACTTGGTCAGGGTGTATGATCTTCTTGATGATCTTCTGCATGTTATTCGCCAGTATCTTATTAAGGATGTTTGCATCTATGTTCATTAGTAAGATTGGCCTATAGTTCTCTTTTTCAGTTGGGTCTTTCTCTTCTTTGGGAATCGAGGTAATGCTTGCTTCCAGGAATGAATTCGGGAGTACTGCTTCCCCTTCAATTTCATTGAAGAGTTTAAACAGTAGTGGCAGCAGTTCCGCTCTAAATGTCTTGTAGAATTCAGCAGTGAAGCCATCAGGACCTGGGCTTTTCTTAGTTGGTAAGTTTTAATTATGCTTTCAATTTCATTGGTTGATAGTGGGTTGTTTAGAATTTTTAGGTCTTCTTTATTCAACTTTGGTAATTCATACTTATGTAGGAATCTGTCCATTTCTTCTGTGTTTTCCATCTTCTTGATGTATAGGTTTTCCAAGTAGGTATTGATAATCCTCTGGATTTCTGCTGGTCCATTGTAATTTCATCCTTTTCATTCCTGATTGCATGGATTTGGGCCTTTTCTTTCCTTTTTCTGATGAGGTCGGCTAAGGGTTTGCCAATTTTGTTTATTCTTTCAAAGAATCAACTCTCTGCTTCATTAATTTTTGTATCAGTCTCTAAGTCTCCATTGCATTGATTGATGCTCTGATATATAATTTCCTCCCTTGTATGAGCTTTGGGTTTGTCCTGCTCTTCTTTTTCTAGAAGCCTGAGGTTCAGCATCAAGTTGTTTAATTGGGCTCATTCTGTTTTCCTAATGAGAGTATTCACTGCTATGAATTTCTCTTGTAAGACTGCTTTCATTGTGTTTCATAGATTCCAATATGTGGTATTGTCATTGTCATTTAAATGAAAGAACTGTCTGATTTCTTCTTTAATTTCCTCTGTGACCCATTGGTTATTCAGAAGTGTGCTGTTCAATTTCCATGTGTTTATGAAGTTTTTGTGGTTTCTGTTGCAGATCTCCAATTTCATTGCACTATGGTCTGATAATTTACAGGGCATAACTTCAGTTCCTTTGCATTTTCTTAAACATGTTCTATGATCAAGTATGTGGTCTACTTTGGAGAACCACCCCTGTGCAGCTGAGAAGAATGTCTATTCTGATTTTGTGGGGTGGAACACTCTGTAAACATCTGTTAAATTCATTTGTTCTAGAGTTCAATTGAGTTCTAGTATTTCATTACTTATTTTTTGTCTAGTTGATCTATCTATTTGTGACAATGCAGTATTGCTGTCCACCACTGCAATCGTATTAGTGCATATATGACTTTTCATGTCCATTAGTATTTGTTTATATAGTTGGGTGCGCTAGTGTTTGGTGTGTAGATATTTATGATTGCCATTTCTTCCTGTTGGATTGTTCCCTTTACAAGGATTTAGTGTCCTTCTTTGTCTCTCTTAATCAGTGTTGGTTTGAAATCTACTTGATCTGCCAAGAGGCTAGCTACTCCTGCTGTTTTTTGGGTTCCCATCGCATGGAGTATTGTTTTCTACCCTTTAACTTTCAGTCCATGAGTTTCCTTTTGAATTAAGTGTGTTTCTTGTATGCAGCATATTGTTGGATTTTGCTTCTTGACCCATTTTGCCAGTCTGTTTTTTGATTGGTGAATTGAGACCATTAACATTGATGTTTATAAGTGATACATATTGCCTTATCATTGTCATGACTTTTTCTTTTTGTTGGACTCTCCCCTTTTACATTTAATTTCTTTTCGTGCCCAATAGGTTCATTCTGCTGTCCCTTCTGGAGTTGTGATCCTCATTGTCTGTTCCTAGTATATTGTCTAAAATTTTTTGGTGTACTGGTTTGGTATTCATGAAGTTCCTGAGGTGCTTTTTATCATGAAAGTATCTTATTTGTCCATCAATTTTGAAAGATAGATTTGCAGGGTACATCAATCTGGGTTGGAGGCTGTTTTCCTTTAGGGCGTGGAATATGTCACTCCACGTTCTTCTTGCCTTGAGGGTTTGTGTTGAGAAGTCTGCTGTTATTCTGACGGGCTTTCCTTTGTATGTGATTTTCTCTAACTGCTTGTAGAACTTTGTTCTTCTGTTGGTTTTCTGGGATGTTAACAATTATATGCTTATTTGTACTTTTTTTTTTTTTAATCAAGGCTAGTTGGAGTCCTATATGCCTTACTTATCTGTATGTCAAGTTCTTTTCCCCTGCTTGGGAAGTTTTCTGCCATTACTTCTGTAAAAGTTTTTTTTATGTCATCTGCACTCTTTCCTGTTTCTTCATTAACTCCAATCAGTCTTATGTTATTCTTCTTTGCATCATCTAGCAGCTGGTCGATTAATTTCTCACGGTCTCTTACAATTTTGAAGCAATTTTTCTTTTCCTGGTCACTAACTGCAATCTTATCTTCTATATCTGAAATCCTGTCCTCACATTAGCTCATTCTGCTGCATAGACTTTCAATGGAGTTTTTGATCTCCTAGAAATCTGTTTGTATCTGTTTTATGTATTCCATTTGTTTCCTATGCTGGGATTCCATCATGTTCCTCAGCTCCTCTATATTTTTTATCTGTGTCCTCTCCAGATTTATTAATCATGTCTTGTACAATGGGCACAATCTCTGTTGTTCTCAGAGAAATTATTTCTGATTTCATTTTTTCCAGATCCTCTTTTGTTACCATTTCAGAGAGTCCAGGTGTTTGAGTATCAGACTGTTCCATCTCATTTCCCTTTAGGGCTGCTGTAGGTGATCTGGAAGTCTGGTTTTGAAACTTGTTTATGTGTCTTCTCATTTTGACCCATGTGGGAGGTGCTGTTGGCACCTGCCTGGCTCACCTCCTCTGACCTGGGAGCGGTGGGATGGCGACTCAGAAGCCCCTTTTTCTGGGCTGGGAGTGGCAGAACAGATGGCGGCCAGGAACCATGTTCCTCTGGGCCAGGAGCAGCAGGATGGATGGGGGCCTGGAAGCCCCTTCCTCTAACCTGGGAAGGGTGTGACAGTGGCTCAGAAGCCCCTTACTCTGGACCAGGAGTGACAGGTCTGACTGGGAAGGTGTATTTTGAGGGAGATTAGTGTGTCCTTTACTGTAATACATTTAAAAACTATTCACTGTAATTTTTGATCACTTCATGTATATTTACAGTCATTGGAAAGAAGAGGTCACTTAAAGTCATGGGAGTAGATTAAGTTACCCAGAGAGACTGAGGAGTACAAGAGAAAGAGATCTATGCCCGACCTGAGTCATCTGGACATTTGCACTTGAAGAAGGAATCTCTGAGTTGTGTTTGTCCCCTAAGCACTCTGTAATTTATATTTACCCTTCCGAGGGAGAGCTGGATCCAGAAAGGTCAGAATACCTTACAAAGTCATGTTTTAAAAGCACACACTGCTCTGGATCATAAAGTGGCACCTAGCGTGGGTCCTTATGTGTCGCTGGCACTCAGGATGTGAGTGTTGTTGCATATGCAGACCACAGTGACCACTAGAAAAGATGGGCAGAGCCTCCAGAGTCCAGCTCATGAGCTGTGATCACAAAGCCATAAACCCTCACTAGCTCTGATTAACACCACAGCATTAGAGCACCATTTCTATTTTTCCATGATTATTATTTTTGTTGTGTAGAAAAATGGCAACAAAGGGTGGGAGCTGTATAAGAAGACATGTTCACTGAAGCACTGGATCTAATAACAAAATCTGAAAGCAAATTAAATGTTTAGCAAATAGACAAACAATAGTACATTCAAACAATCAGATATATAGCATTTAAATGAATGAGCTAGAGCTACATCTATTAATTCAGATAAATCTCAAAAAACTAATGTTATATGAAAAATGCAAGTCACAAAATGTTATACAAAGTATGACATCATTTATTGAAAATGTAAAAACCACACAAAATTTTGTATATATATTCTTACAAGAAAAGAAATATAAGATTAGGTAAATGAAAAGCACAGACTCCTGGGCAATGGCCATGTAATCTCTGGACAGCAGGTAGGGGAATGGATAGAAGGGTGAGATTTCAGTTCTGTGGGGATTATTTTAAGAGAAGCAGAAGGAAATATAGAAAAATATTAACAGTTCTTAAATAGGGCAATGAAGCATGGAAGAAATATTATTTTCTGTTCTCTTCTTAATTAAAAATAAATAATTAGCATATATAAATTTTGGAATTCCCAGAGCAAAAATCAGGCTTTTTTTCCTGAACCTCAGTTAAACAGACCACCAGGGGAAAATGAATGCAGTAATGCCCTGACTCACAAACACCTGAGTTGCACACTTTCACAGATAAGAACAGACCTTGCATTACAAACATTTGTAGATGTCAATATATTGTGGGAGTAGCCCATGTGTCTGCTAGACATTGTCACAGTTATGCTGCAGTGTGCTTACTATACAGTGTGACAGTGTACCGTATTTTTGTGTGTCTGTTTTTTTAGTTTTACATTATATATTTGTGTCAAAAGTGTATAAGCCTCACTTTATTGCACATCAAATGAATCTGTCTTGCAAACATTCTCCTGAAACTGAACTTGTTCATAAGTCAGGGACTTATTATATGTACACATACATACATATACACACATACATATGCACATGCACATAGACACATATGTACATGAACACATGCATATACACACACATGTAAGCATATACATATATACTTACACATACACACATACATATATGCATAACTTCAAATTAAAATAAGCTTTATTGGAAAAAATATTGGCTTTATCATAATTTCTGAGGATCATAATTTTAATGTGGTGAGACTTTAATCCCTTTCTGGGATTTGACTGTGTACCAAAGCTACAGAAGGACCATCTGTATTTCAAGTAGAATGATGATTCTGGAGTGACTGGGGTGGAGCAGGGAACACCAGAGAACAATCTTGGTTGTGGGGGACTGCTCCAATGTAGGGCTGAAGAATTACAGAAAGACCATAAAAGGAGTGCAGTCAAGTTTATTGAGGAGCCAGGAGGTGGGGTTGAAATCCTAGTGAGATCTAGACAAATGTTTATTTCCCATGGTATTCCATCCATTAGGAAGCCATTGGCTTTGCTATCTCTCTGGATCCTTCCAGAGTTGATGCTCAATGACTTTTCTATTCTCCTTTAAAAGTTTTTTCCCTGGACTGGAATACTCACAGGTATTCCCAAGATGTTGGAAATCTTTCTTGCTTGGTAAATTATACCCAGCTTCCCTAGGCACTTCCTTCTTTTTGTGCCTGTTCAGACCAAGCACTTTTCAGGCATCCTGCCATACTAGGAGTCATTGTTTTTGTGACACGGGGAGGGGTATTCTGAGGAGGAATGAGGTAATGTAGTGACAGGAGGCATCAATGGGTGATGGGAGCCCAGGTGAAAATAAAGTTGCTGAATGTGGAGAAAGTCATGTGATTTTCTCCAAGGGCAGGAAGACATTAGTCTACCTTGAATATTAATCTACTTGTTATTTTTCATCAGCTCACCCATCATTTCTTCTATAAGTTCTGCAAGTATAATGAGTGATGTGTGTTTGTGTGTTTGTGTGTGTGTGTGTGTGTGTGTGTGTGTGTGTGTGTGTGTGTGTGCATGCTTTGGACTTGGGATGTGGGAGGAAGGGAAGAGGGCAATCTGTAAAGTCAAGTTCAGTGTTTACCAAAGAGGCATATGTTTTAGGTAGCTTGGGTTCCCAGTTAAAAAAGTGACTTATTTCCGTCCTGTAGAGATGTCATTTGCTCATAAAATTCCCAGGATCTGGTTAATGCTCAAGACTAACAGAATTTAAATTTTAATTTTCTGGGTTTTCTGTTTTCTATGCACTTATCGCTTGACTTATTAATAATCATTGTCCTTTTTAAAAGACATATTCATCTTTTAAATGATGTTCCCCTTGTGTCTTTAGCAATTGTTTTTCTGAGCACTGCTTGACAGAAACTGAAATTAGGCACCACTCACACTGCAAAAGTCAGTTACAGAGGACAGTTAGTAGAAATGAAAATAGAATCTTTCCAGAGTTAGAATGAGAGAGTAGAAGTTTGCTTAGTTTACATACACTTAGGCTGCATGTACCTTCTCAAGAATGTGTGATTGGTTTAGTCAAGATTCACTTGTCCTACTCAGTTAATATGCAGCTCCGAAGCAGGTTGTCCCCTTTACCTTCAGCTTTGTTTTCTCAAAGTCTGCCAGTGTTCTGACCACATAGCACTTGGCTTATGGATTCACCACCTTTTTCTTTTTTTTATGATTCATTAAGTTCATTGGTACATTTTATGCATACATTATGATCACCTTCACCTTTTTCAATGCTTGTTCCTCTCAAATAATCTACTCACAGAAAAAATTAAAGACAAAAGGTAGACTTTACTGAATATTTCACAAACGAGACCTAGGAGGAGGCTGCTATAACATGCTGCTTAGCACATGACCTAATGTTTCCCCTTAGCTGTTCTTATTTCCTCAGACCCCTCTCATCCTTTTCTTCTTTAAATACTTTCTAGACAAACTTTGCACAGTTAGTATTTCTTTCTTTTCTCTTGAGAAAAATGAATTTTACTTCATTTTTTATTTTTATTTTTCATACCAGTAGAGGGCCTCTCTTCTTTTCCTGAAGCAAAACCTCAGGAGCTTACAATTCAACCCAAATGGTTCATCAAAGTCTTTCAACAAATAAGATGCTTCTTCAAAGATGATATGGAAGTGTCAGGTTTGATGTTGCTGGACAAATCTCTTGGCAGCCCAGGTCAGGATAGGAGGCTGGCATTGCTCAGAAGTTCTTCTCACCATTTTCAAGGTCTATCGACAGCTTTGTCTATCAACAGCTTTATGGGCGACTCACAAGCCCTCCACAGAACTGATTTTCTGAGAGGTGTCTGAAGCAGGGAACACATATGTCATGCCGGGGATGGCAGCTAGTCCCTGGCTAAGCGACAGTGTCACCTTGATCTTTACAAACTGATGGAGGGTTTGCTGAACAAACAAGATCAATCTGGAAGGCATCTTGAACCATATTTTGACCTGTTGAGGTGACATTCAGCCAGATGTCCCTGGGATTATTCATTTTATTGATTTGTTTGATCTTTGTTTGGTTGGAAGCTTCTATCTGGAAGCTGGAGTCTCAGCTCACAGATGTTCTGAGTTGAAAGGGACTTTGGAGAGATTGACACTTAGTCCCCTAGTTTTTCAGGTCTGGCTCCTGAGCTCCACGAAGGAGAAAGAATGGCTCAAGGTGAATGAATAGTGAATTAATAGCTGTGCTGGGGCAATCCCACCCCTTCTAATTCTCATGTGGGGCTTTGTGGCCACACTATGGCACTCCCTTACCATTCCTCCAAATGACACTTCACTTTTTAAACCCTGGATATGTATCTTTCCAAGAGACAGAAAGAGAAGTATACTATTTAATATGCTTTGTGGTTTCAGTTTTGCTCTAACATTTTCTTTTTGACCAAGTATTTGGAGAGATGAAGTACTGTTTGGTAAAGAGTTGTTTTCTTCTTGAAGGCCAAGAGACACTGCTCAGTCTGAACTACTGTATAAGAAGACAGATAGCACATTATCCCTAGGAAAGGTGTCTATATCCACATACTGGAATTTATTCACTGTGACTGATATGGTGGTGTTGGCCTGCAAGTAATCCAGCAAGAACTGAGAGAGATTCTGGTATATGTGTTTCGTTTGTATTCCAGACTCACAAACGGTTACCAGGGCCTCTCTTTTGACCTTTGTGTTGACGAGAAGCTCCAACTTCAGGTCCACGGAATGACTGGAGCACTGCACACGAAACTGCAGTTGGCAAATGATGAGGTACAAGCCTGGGAACTGGATCACCAGGTTCCCATCCTGGTACCTGACTCCATTCAGAATGCCATCTTGGTTCCAAGAAACCTTGGTACTGTTGAGATGCTTTGACACTAGGAAGAGAAGCATGAAAAACACAATTATTGGCCAGAATTTATCTACAGATTTGAAAATTCTGTCCTTATTCATGAGGCCCTTTCAAGAGCTTTGTCTTCTGTAATGTTACCTATTGTGCCAATCACTTGAATATCTTTTCCTTTTACCTAATCAAGTCTATTTATTGAAGCCACAGCTGGGAAACCACCTGTTTCCCTTTTCTCCAATGTGCTGAGCTAAAGGGTCAAACATATGTGGCACCACAGCCTTTACAATGCTTTCCTCTTAATTGTTATCATATATTATTATGATGATTAATATCTTTCCTGTTAGACTATGAGCTCCTGGACTGTATTCTGCACAAAGTCTGCACTATCATGTTCATTTATTATGGAAGAATAGTTAGTGAACCACTGCTATTTGGTCTGGATTGCAGATAGTATCAGAGATAAGACAGTTAATATTGTTCAATTAATAATCACTTTAGGTTATCAAGTTGCCCAGGAGAATCTCCATTAACTTTCACATTAAGATATATCCTTTAATGGATCATTGTCTGAATTTTTGAATGTCTTCTTTCTTTAAAGGGCAGCCAGACATGACTGCATAAGCCCTTCACATGTACATTAAGGAGCTTTGCCAGATGAGATTTCTAGCAGACCTTCTGAGCAGACGTGTTTATGTCAGAAGCCACATCTCTGAGTCCTAACAAATGAAATTTAGCACTGCTTAGTAAAGACGCCTTCAGAACTGGGAAGCTGGCATATTTGTTTTAATTGCTTTTGCACTTTTCCTTTAAACCTCATGGTAATTCAACTGAAAGGTAAGAACAAATCTATCTGCAAAATTGAATTTTTAAAATGGACAGCATGGCTGTTCAGAGAATCTTGGCCATCTCCTCTGTACCTCATTCTTTTGCTGTGTAGGTGCCTCTTATGGTTTCGCTTATAAGGGACCACTTACCTGAAGCATGTTGCAATATGTAAATAGGCCCTGTGTCAACATGTTCATTAAGCTGTCAATCTGGGGACAAGGCAGTTCTGTGGTTCCCTGGTGAGTAGCTTCATGGAGATTAAGAGCTTGCTTCCTTTGCATTAGGAAAAGGACTTCGTACTTGGTTAAAGCTGGTAGGTAGCTGAGCAGGGAGGATGGTGGAGGTAGAGGAGGAGGCAGGGTGGTGGGGAGATCACAAGAAAGGGGAACGGGGCTGAAGAAAGAGGAGCCTTATGGCTTTGGAGTGTAACACTCTCCTCCTTTCCCCCCAAGGTATTCAAACTCCAATTATAAAAAGCATCCTGCTACACAGAATACGCTTGCAGGTCTCCTTCAGCCCAGGGTCTGCTGGCTTAAAAGTGGCTGAAAGGGCACAGGAGGCAGCTCTCATGTCCTTGGGTTTCCTGGACTTGGTTACTGACCTTTGAGGTAGGCCCTTGACTTCTTGAATGGAGCCCTTTCCAGGATACACAGGAGGTCATCTGAGCAGTTTTCTAAAAACAAGGAGATCAAACATTAATTGTCTTCTGCTGCCCTGGAAAATGGAGACACCAGACCTCTTTCCATGAGCCTTTGATGTTGACAATTATTATTCTGTCTCCATTTAGCGGGTAAAAGGAAAACTTCTTTAGTTCTCATTTTGTTGTCACATATTTTAGGAGTTTTGCTTTCCTAAAATTTATTTTTTAATGATTGCTTCTACTTGGGATTTTATAGAAGGCTGTGGAAGTCAGGAAGAGAAAACAAATACAGTCTTAGTTCCCATAATGTGCCAGGCAATATCCTCATCACTCTGCATTTTACCTCATTTAATCTTTGCAGGAACAATATGAGATCTTATAAAGTGCCTCGTACAGATGGGAAAACCCCTGGGGACCAGATAGGTTAAATCCACTGTCCCATGTCACCTAGCCAGGCAGTGATCATCCGAATACTAATACTGTACTGAGAGTAATTATTGCTAACTTACTTGTTGCATGCATACCAGGTACTACTCTGTGTACTTTTACTTGTGCTAGTTAATTTAGTTCTCAAGGTTAACCCCGCTGCCCAGGTCAAGATCAAGAAAGCTGGTGGGAACACAAGTTCATGGAAGTATTCATGACTGTCTGATTCCAGAGGCCAAGTTTCCTCCTTTAGGCCATTTTGTTAGGTAACAAAGATAAAAGCACCTTTCACACAATTTTAAGAGGACAAAAGATTGATGATATTTCAGCAAGAAGCCTACTATTAGGGGCTTTTTAGGGAGGGGTAAGCACAGCATTCATATCATTTTGGCATTTAAGAAATAAAAGTATATTTAGTATCTTCACCCGGGATGATAGCTTAGCTTTTTCTTATAGTAACTATGCTGTATGCAAAGAACCAAATTACACATTTTCTGTGATGACCCATGAACTCAACTTATAGTATTTGGAACAAATCTCTCCTTTTCTTTGAGACTTGGTTTCCCTATCTGTAAAACTGGGTGGTCTCCAACCTGACACTGACACTGTTTGATGATCTCACTAGAGATGACCCTTGAGTCCACCGCAGAGAAGCAGCAGCCACAGGCTTTTGAAATAGGGCAGCCACACCCTGGTGAATCTGCTCTCTGAGTAGTATGTGTTGGGCTCACAACCTTCCCCTCTGCTCTCTCTACCCAGGCTTAAGAAAGTTCCTCCTGGCCCTCACAAATCCATGGGACCCTGGAGTGGTTAAAAGTTGAGTGAAGAGTTCCCTCTGCTGTCTGAGCAAGCTTACTGCTACAGGCATCCCCAGCAGAAAGAAGGGTGGTTTTCATCCCCATCTGCCCTTGACTCACAAAGAGCTTCTGGTCCAAAACCCCTCTTGGCATTGAGGGCCAGGGCCTAGCTATCAGTCTCTTGATCTCATTCCTCTGAGCTGTGTTTTCATCCTGTTTGCTACACCACACCACCCACAGTCTTGGGCTGTGTAGAATCAGAATCATCACCGAGTTTACTCTGCTAGTGGACTGTGACTCCTCTTACAGAGCCCTCAGCACAGCATCCCATTTTGAGCTGCAGAATGTCAGTCAGAAGGAACTACAAAGAGGCGGGGTTGCCTGGATCTCTTTGCCTGGAATCCTTTTCTACCTTTCCATGGTCCCTTGTGTACTGACGCTTACCAAACTCTCCAGTCCCCTTTCACACTAAGTCCTAACTGTGATAATCCTCACCATCAGCACAGCAGTGACAGTCATAATTGCTAATATGTGTTGAGCAATGTCTGTATCTAGGCATTCTGCTCACCATGTTATGTGCATTATTTCATTTAATGTTCAGAATCACCCTTATTTCTATCATGTATATAAGGAAACCAAGGCTTTAAAACATACAGTGACTTGTTCGCATTCACATAGCTGGTTGTTGGTAGGGTGGATTCAAATTCAGGCTGTGACTGTAATGCCCCAGTGGATTGTTGATCACTGTGCTGGAGTTTGGGGGCTTGAGGTGCCCCCGAACATACTCTGTTGATTGTCATTCCACTTTGGCAGCCCTTCCTGTTCCTTCGACATGGACTCTCCACCTTCATCAAGCCACATGTCATCTGAAAAACAGCTTAGCAGTCATCTCCTCCAGGATAGTTTCCTTGCCCTTCCCTGGTTGGCCTTTTGGTTCCTCCACGAGGCCATGAGTTCTCAGGGTAGAGACTGCTGCCTAAATATCCCTGGCTGGAAGATGCACTGTGCATGTTTGTTGAGTCTGACCACCTGTCTATCCCTGTCATTTCCATCTGTAGGAACCAGCTAGGTACTCATGGAATGAGGGAGGTGAACAGGGATGTTTGGCTTGCCTGCCCCCAGGGCCTCATTCTCCCCAGGGCTGCAGACCAGGTTAATGGTAGGATGAGGAAAAACAGTCTCTGCCCACTGGCTGAAGGCTTCTGGCATCCTGCTGCCTGCATCAAGTGAGAGGCTACCAGCAGGCAGAAGCGCAAGCCCAGGCTTGTCTCTCACACACAGGTTCTTGTGTTGTTTTTCCTCTTTGATCTTCACATGTACAGTGGGGTGACCTCAGCTGTAATTCTGAGAAACCCAAGGGTGGAAAAAAATCTTATTTTGAAGCATTTGCGTTTCCTGAAGTCAAATGGCATGGCATATTTTAGGTTTTCTTAAAGAATCTTTTCAGTAGTTTCAAGCTAAAGGAAAAACAAAGGCAGCTCCTGACATTGCCAGCAGGGCATGGTGGCACATGCCTGTAATCTCAGTACTCTGAAAGACAGAGGCAGGAGGATAGCAAGTTTGAGAAACTTAGTGAGATCCTGTTTCAAAATGAAAAAAAAGAATTTTTTTAAAAGGTTGGGGATGTATGTAGCTCAGGTACAATGGCCCTGGGTTCAATCGTCAGTAATGAAAAGAAGGAAGGAGGGAAGGAAGGAAGAAAGGAAGGAAGAAAGAAAGAAGAAAGAAAGAAAGAAAGAAAGAAAGAAAGAAAGAAAGAAAGAAAGAAAGAGAGAGAATAAAGCAAAGCAAAGAATAACATTACCAGTGCTGGTTCAGGGAGGCGGACACAAAGAGTAAACAAGAAGAGCTATTAAGGGAACAGGGCTGTTGGACTTGGAGAAGACCCAGTGTGGCCTCATTGTTAGGGTCCAAACACTAAGCCCCTAAGTGGGAGTGAAAGGAGATCAGGCTCCAGCTAAAAGCTAACACCACTCTCATCCCCATTTCTCATTTATGGCAATGACAACACCTACACTAAGTACTCCCAAGTCGCACATAAGTGACAGAACTGGCAGCTCAAACATTTGGCTGTTCAATGCTGTTCAAAGATGGGGTGTGCTGCTTTGGGAGTTGTGAGGCTCTTGCCAAGAGCTTGATAACACTTTGTGTGGGCCACCATCTGTGTGGATCAAGCTTCCTCACTGCGTGGGTGTCTACAACATAACCTTGCCTTTTTTCATGAAGACAAGGAGGAGTTCTTTGGTAGAAGGATCTAACAGCTGGTGGTACATGCAACTGGAATCCTGCAGTGTCTCTGGGGTTTGAGAACCAGCCACATAGAGACTAAAACACACTCTGCTTCACTTGTTTTCCACCTGAATGGAGTGTCTGGTGGGGTCTGTTTGAGAAACGGAATGTGGAGGTGTGGAAAATAAGAACCGTGTGCAGGCAGTGTCTGAGTTGGCCTGGGAGTTAGGCTCCTGGAGTTTCCTCTTTATGGGCTCTAATGTCCCTACCTAGATGGAGATCAGCATGGACCGGTGATCCTGAGGGCCTTTCTAGCTTGTTCTATAAGATGGAATAGTCTCATCTCTCTACTGAGACTGCTGGGGTGGACACAGACGGGGCATGTCAGTCCTAGTTCTGACTGTTTGTAGGCATTTTGTTCTACCACAGGTAGGAGACCATGTTCAGATTTTCAGATAGCTGCAGTGATAGCCCAGAACATTTTGGCTCTAGGGATAATCTAAGTTATGAGCAGACAGGGTCTGTAAAATTTTGCATGGCTCTTAGAAGTTCCCTGAGAGAACTTCTGGTCCAGGCTTGGGGACACATAACCAGGTGCCTCCTCCACAGCAGACTGATTCTAGGTCATCCAGTGAGTTAGTAATAGAGGCGGGACCAGAGCCCAGAGCTGCATACTCAACTTGTGGGGTTGTTCTGTCTTCCAGATAATCAGAGCACTCTGAATCCCTCTGAGGACAAAGTCTTTAGGTGCACAATGTTTATATATTGTATTTTTGTTTCCAAGCTCTGGACTCTTCTAGAAGGGTCATGCACTTCTTTTTGACATTGTTTGGAAGACTGGAAAGAAAGATGTGCCAATGAAATCCTACTGGCAAGAGGAGAGACATAGGGAGAAAGAGACATAGCAGGAGGTGGTTGGAAGAACCATGATCTAGAAGCTCAGGATTATGGTAACCTTAAAACTACAGCCTGACTTGAAATTTTTACAATGTCTGATTGAAAGGGCCATCAGATGCCATGTAAACATTGAGCTCAGTTTTATGAACAGGAAGACAGAACCCAGAAAAACAGAGGGTCTGCCCCAAGGCCCCCAGAGTGGGTAAGTGGCAGAGCTGGGTGCAGAGCACAGGGCTCCTGACTTCTAGTCCAGAGGTCCATTTCTATCTTTCAGTTTTTCCATGGAGCAGGGAGGGTTAAGTACAAGAAGAAGTGGTTTCATGGCCACAGCAGATACTGGAACTGAGAACTGTCGAAACAGCTGGAGATGATGAGAAAACAAGCACTAATGAGTCCTCTTGGTTCTGTCTTGTGGGAGAATGGCAGCAGATGATTCCGGGCCTGTGTGTGGAAAGCTGCCAAGTCACAAGTCAGGGCAGTCAGCTCTCCATAAAGATGTACCAATGCTTAGGGCAGCAAAAGAAACCACAGGGATCATTCCAGCCAGATGGCAGGTGGTCTGAGTGCTGGGAGCCTCCCAGCTCTACAGCACCCTCCATGTAAGGATGTAAGGACAAGGTAGACACAAAGCATCTCAAAAAAGATCCCATGGGTTCTGGACAAGACTTTTGGTTCTGGACCTGT